TTACATTCTATAATTTTCTAAATGTGGTAGGCATCAGGTATCTAGGCTTCCCTACAACCAGCTCACTAAGTTAACCTTTCCTTCCCCTAATACCACTCCATTTCTTCCCACTCCATTTTCTACGAGCTTTGGAAAGCTAACTAAAAAGTAGCTTTGTCCAATGCCTACACAAGCTATCTGGGTTCTAGCCCCAATTCTGCCACTATCTATGTGACCTTGGGCAAGACATTTCCCCACTCCAAGACTCAGTTTCCTCATTCAACAAATGAGTGGGTTAGACTAGATGATTCCTAATGTTACATTTAGGTTTAATATAAGGAAAAACTTCCAAATGGTGAGAGATCCCTAAAAGCTCATAGGCTCATAGGGCTAGAGCTAGAAGCAACCTCTGAAGCCATTGAGTCCAGCCTCATTCTCCAGATGAATTTAATATGCTCAATTTAACCACAGAGGTTAAATGACTTGCCCAAGGTCATACAGGTTATAAGAGTCAGAGAGGCAGAATATAAACCCAGTTTCTCTGACTCCAGAGCTAAGTAGTCTTTCCACTGTCCTACTGGTTCCATCTCAGCTATTAGAGGTCTTCAAGAAAAGGCTAGATGACCACTTGTCAGGTATATTGTAGACAAAGTTTTTGTTCAGGTATAGGTTGGACTAGAAGCCCTTGAATTCTCTTCCACAATCAGGATCTTCTACTTCTAACATTCTGTGAGTTCCATAATTAGGCAAGGAGCTAATTTAATGAAAATTACCTAAATAAATTAATCTGCCTTTGTTCCCCTTTTTGCAGCTCTCTGAGGAAAAGTTCAATATTTGCCATGAGTGAGTATTTTTTAAATCTTTTGTAATGGAACACATAGGAACTTTAAATGTTTTCCTATCTTCTTGCCTTTCTAGCCCTCCTATAGCTGTCCAAGTCTGATAAGTCAGTTGAATCAACACTTCTACATACAATTTTTTTAAAGTCCTGTCTAGTTTTCCCAGGTTTCATAACACCCTTGCTGATCAACAAAAACTTTCAACTGCAAAGTGTTTGATGTCAAATTGGAATTCTGTTGTTGTTATTGTTTAATCGATTAGTTGTATCTGATTCTTCCTGACCCCACTTAGGGTTCTCTTGGCAAAGATGGTAGAGTGGTTTGCCATTTCCTTCTCCAGCTCATTTTATAGATGAAGAAACTGAAGCAAACAGGGCTACGTGACTTGGCCAGGGTCACAAAATTAGTAGATGTCTGGGGTCCTGATCTGAACTCAGATCCTCCTGACTCCAGGGCTGGTGCTCTATCCACTGCACCACCTCACTGCCCAATTGGAATTTAAACACATATAAATAGATACCTTAAGATATGGAATGATTTGTCTATTTATTTGCATTGGCAAACTATCTTAGTAAACATGCATTTTATGCATCTTTTAGATTATTAAATTTTTAACAGATTAAAAGCATTTTAGATGCTTTATTGTGGCCCATTGTTCTTGCTCCACAGTAACTGCCCCTTAAGTTCCCCTCATCCAGACATCATTGAATTCTTCCTAGTAATGAAAAAAAAAAATTTAAGCAAAGCTAATGGGTCCAGCAACTACATCTGAGAGGGTTTGTATTTCCTTTTTGGAACCTCCACCTCTCTCCCAAGGGAAGGAGATACACTTCATTATCAATTCTCGTCACCACTCGTCAGAGTTCCAGTGCTATTCTATCAACTTATCATTTAGATAGTTCTTGGGTGTGTTGTCCTGCTGGACCTACTCTTGTCAATAGAAGATCTGCTTTCTTTGAGCAAATCATCTACAAAGCACAGAAATCCCTGTGGACAAGATGGCAGAGAATAGGTTGCTATCTGTAACAATGAAGATAGACATTTGCATCAGGTGATTAAATCAGTAAGGTTCCTCAGTCATTTCCAAATGAGGTTTTTTAAAAAGTGTCTCTGAGAACTCGTGAAGAGCAAGAGACATTTTTTGAGGGTGTGCCTTAACACCCAAAAATCACCAATAAGAAGCTATTATTTAGTGATACTGATACCAAAAGAAAAAAGGGTGTGAAGGAAACAATTAAAAATACACAAAAGAGGGCAGAAGGAAGACCAGAAAGGAACACAGACTAGGAAGGTAGTGTTGGAACCACCATGTCCTTCAAATCCTTGTCCCACTATATGAATATCCTCAACAAATGTTCATGTGACCCTTGCTTAGACATTGCCAGTGAGGAAGAACTCACTACTTCATAAAACAACCCATTCCATGGTCATAAAGGTCTTATTAATTGACAGATAAAATATACCTCCCAGGTCCCAGCAAGCCAGCAGCAAGCCCCACCTCAGCAAACCAGTGGGAGAGCCTGAGCCCCAGTGCCAGGGAGCAGGCAAATGCCAACACCAGGACTCTGGGTGCCTTAGCACAGTCAGGGGAACTGGCAGACTCCAGCTACAAGAACCACCATATGCTTGGGGTGAGAGGAGGTGTCCTGTGGTGGCCAGACCTCCAAATGTTTCACCATTGCCCAGACAGGCATCCTACAGCAGCTGGACCTCCATGTGCTTCAGTGTGACTCTAGCCTCTCCAGTGGCAGGTCCTCCATGTGCTTCAGTGTAGTCCCAGGGAAACACAGAATAACCAGCACCCCCCTCCCGGGCCTCAGCATATACCAGACACCACCACAGCCTACAGCCACTAGGACAAGAAGCTGGAGACAGTGATCCTTCCACCCTGGGAGCAGAGCTCAAATTTAAAAGAAAGGGAAAAAGCCAAAAAAAGGGGAGGTGGTGAGCAGAAAACAACAGAAAAAGAATCTGACCATAGAAAACTAAGAAAAGGACAACAATGTCAAAAACCTATGAGCAAAACCCCAAAGAAAAATGGGAAGTTGTCTCAAGCCCAGAAAGAACTCATGGAAGAACTCAAAAAGGAGCTTAAAAATCATTTAAGAGAAGCAGAAGAAAAATGGGGAAAAGAAATGAGAGTGATTGATACAAGAAAAATTATTTTAAAAAGACTCAACAGCTTGGAAAACTGCCTAAAAGTAGAACTGGTCTGATGGAAAAGGAAATACAAAAATCCAGTGAAGAAAACAATTCCTTAAAGAGTACAACTGGTCAAATGGAAAAGAAAGTACAAAAGCTAATTGAGGAAAACAATACCTTAAAAGTTAGAATTGTGCAAGTGGAAGCTAATGACTCTATGAGACATCATGAATCAATCAAACAAATTCAAAAGAATGAAAAAAATAGAAGAAAATGTAAAATACCTCATGGCAAAAACAACTGACCTCAAAAATAGATTCAGGAGAGACAATATCAGAATCATTGCACTATCTGAAAGCCATAATCAAAGAAGGACTTGGACACCATCTTTTAAGAAATTATCAAGGAAAACTGCCCTGACAGTATGGAACTGCAGGGCAAAATAGGCATTGAAAGAATCCACCAATCACCTCAGAAAAGATATCCCAAAATAAGAACCCCAAGGAACATTACAGTCAAATTTCAGAACTATTGGATTAAGGAAAAAAAATACTACAAGTAGCCAGAAAGACACAATTCAAATATCAGGATCACACAGGACTTGGCAGCTACAACATTAAAGGAATGGAACATGGAACATGATATTCTGGAGGGCAAAGGAGCTAGGACTACAACCAAGAATCACTTACCCAGCAAAATTAAGCATAATACATCAAGGGGAAAAAAATAGTCATTCAATGAAATAGAAGGATTTCAAGCCTTCTTAAGGAGAGAACCAGAACTAAACCAAAAATCTGACCTCTAATATCAGGACCCAAGAGAAGACTAGACAGGTTTAAAAAAAAGAAGGGGGAGGGGGAAACCCAGAAAGGATTCAATAGAGCTAAACTGTTTACATCCCTACATGGGAAGATGATACTTGTAACTTTCAAAAATTGTATCACTAACAGTGCAAATAGAAAGAATAAACATAGACAAAGGGTGTGGGTATAAGGTGTATTTGAGGGAATGACAAAAAAAAAATAAGGGATGAGAAAGAAGTAAAATGGGTGCAGAAGGAAGGGGGAGGTAGAATGGGGCAAATTATCTCACATGAAGAGGTAAGAAAGACTTATTACAATGGAAGGGAAGATGGGAGGAGGGGCAATGGGCATTACTTGAACCTTACTCTCATCAGTATTGGCTCAAAGAGGGAATAATATATACAATCAGATGAATACAAAAACTTATCTTACCCAACAGGAAAGCAGGAGGGAAGAGATTAAATAGAGGTGAGGTGGGGACTGATAGAACAGAGGGCAGATCAAGGGAAGTGGTAGAGAGAAGCAAAACACTGATGATATGAGAAAAGGTGAAAAGGAGAGAGAAGACAAACAGAAGGAAGAATAGGATGGATGGAAATACACAGGTAATAATCATAATGGTGAATGTGAATGGGATGAACATTCCCATAAAATGGAAGTGGATAGCAAAATGAATCAAAAACCAGTGTCCTACAACATGCTGCTTATAAGAAACACACTTGAAGCAGAGACACACACACACAGAGTAAATGAAAACCTGGAAAGACAAGTACAAACTGATGCAAAGTGAAATGAGCAGAACCAGAAAAATACTGTACACAGTATCAGCAACATTGTGTGATGATCAACTATGAATGACTCAGCTTTTCTCAGCAACACAATGATCCAATACATGTATAAAGGACTCACAAAGGAAAATGCTGTCCCTATGCAGATAAAGAACTGATGGGCTCTGAATGCAGATCGAAGCATATTTTTTTCACTTACTTTATTCTTTCTCATTTTTTTGCTTCACATATTTTTCTTCCATAACCATGGTGAATATGGAAGTATGTTTTATATGATAGCATATGTATAAACTATATCAAACTGCCTACCATTTTCAGAAGAGGGGAAGGGGAAAAGGAAGGAAGGGAGAAAAATTTGGAACTCAAAATCTTATGAAAATGAATGCTAAAAATTTTCTTGATTTGTAATTGTGGGGAAAAAAATAAAATACTATTAAAAATGTACTTACCTTCCACCAACTCTCCCGAGCTACATAAAATAAATCAACTTCTCTTTCAGAAATTGGGGCTTCAAGTAATATAATTATTACATTCTCTCTTCTCTAGGTGAAACATCCATGTTCTTTCATCTGATGCCCATATTATATAATTTAGAGTCCCTTGATAAAAAATAAATATTTAGGGCTTCATTGATAAGCACCGCTGCCAAGCATACTTATCCAGGAAGTAGAGACATTTTAATTAATGGTCTACTGTATGCTCAACACAGGCTGATGTTACACAAAAACCAATGGGCCATGAGTAGCATTTTAAAAAATCTTATATAGGACAAGGCAGGATGTATACAATTAGAATTTTTACAGAGGGCAAAAGGGGAAGGTATAGACTTACATATCAAAAAAACATTAGGAGAAGGGGAAGGCCCAGAGCAAGTAAAATAATACACTGATCAGCAAACACCAGAGCTAAAGCTAACATCTCAAGCAAAAATAAATAAATAAATAAATAAATAAAAGACAGAAAAAGAACTAATCAGATAGAGCCAAGGCTATAGTTGATATCTCAGCTTAAGCAAATAGGTATAATCAAACTGAGCCAGAAACTCCTCTATACTAACCAGTTCATCACCTGAGCTAAAGTTTGGTGTCTCAGCTAAATACTGTAGCCTCTGTCTAGTGATGTGACTAGCTGTCTTAAGGAAATGACAGTCATAAAGCCAACATAAACAAATTCTCTTACTACACCCCTCTCTCCCCAGCCCCCCACATCCTCCTCTAGCTATGCCTCAGCTTGTCAGGATTAGAAATACTCATCTATATCAACAGTCAATAAATATTTATTAAGCACCTATTAAGTTCCAAGCACTGTGCTAAGCACTGGGGATACAAACATGAAAAAAGAAAGTCTGGATCTTTAAGGAGCTTACAACATACCGGAGCAAGACAAGAATGGTTGCTAAAAGGGGGAAAGGAGTGTTGAGATACCCAGCATAGGTGTGGTGGAGTCCAGTCCAAGGATTACAACTAATAGGCAATGAAGAGATGGCTGGACTTGAAGACCTCTTTAAAAGGAGGTTTGGGGAGGAGTTCTTTACTCTGCCTTCTGGCTCTCCAATCAGAAGGAGGGCAAATACTGAGAGTACTAATGAGGTGTGAGTACCAAAGCTCATGAAATCTTACAGGAGATGAGTTTCCTGATGAGGAGGTTGCCTAGAAGCACGACGGAGTCCAGTTCAAGGAATTCATCTTGTGGAAAATTAATGCTTCCCAAAGAAGCTTCCTTCAAGAAAAGCACTGACAACATATTGCAGGCCTCTCCAGTAGTGCTTATCATATTCTGCTTTGAACTATAGTTATTTGTGTGTAATGGGGGGACTGGATGATGAGGGCCAGTAGCTGAAACATGCCCAGTCTCTGAAGCTTCCCTTTGTTGTTTTCTGTTGTTTAGTCATTTTTCAGTTATGTCTGACACTTCATGACCCCTTTTGGGGTTTTCTTGGCAGAGGTACTGGAGTGGTTTCCCACTTCCTTCTCCAGCTCATTTAACAGATGAGGAAACTGAGGCAAACAAGGTTAAGTGACTTGCCCAGGTCATATAGCTAGTATCTAAGGTCACATTTGAACTTAGGTCTAACTCCAGGCCCAGTACTCTATCTACTTCACCACCTAGCTGCCCCAAATCTTCCTTGCCTGGTTTTATTTCTTGAAATAGTGAAACTATTTTCTACCAATTGCTTATCCAACAATTAAAACTTTGGCAGCCAGTTTCAGCCATATTGACTCAGAGTTAGTACTAATTAATGATGAAAAGCGTTCTAATTCAGAGCCAAAAGGACTGATGACTTAGAAGCAGCTAAACTGGAAATGAGTATGCATAAAAACTGTTTAAATAGTCAGTCTCCCACTCTCTCCTGATGCCTTTCAGGTAAAACAATTGCTTTCTGAGTAGAAAGGGAAACTGGCCATTTGTGTCCCTGAAAATGTCCAGCTCTGTTCTTTTGTGTTTATTTGTTCCTGATCCTCGGTAAATATGTATTTAGAGAGGGGAGTGAACAGGCAACTCTATCTACTCCATCACAGGTCCCATGAGCAACCATAATTGTCAGCAGAGTATACCAGAGTAGAGTGGCCGGTGACAGAGAAAAGACAATTCCATAGGACCACTGAAATTTCAGGAATTATGACCCCCTCTTAGGAGGGTAAGGGGCAGCTAGGTAGTGCAGTGGATAGAGCACCGGCCCCTGAAGTCAGGAGGACCTGAGTTCAAATCTGGCCTCAGACCAAACACTTGACACTTACTAGCTGTGTGAGCCTAGGCAAGTCACTTAACCCCAATTGCCCCCCCCCAAAAAAAGAGGAAGACATGCTGGCTATAAACAATAGAAAGGCATAGATCCATTGAGCCTAAACGAGAGCTATATCCAGGGAGAAATCTCAGGACACCATAGAGGGAAAAAAAAATTTCTGAGATCAAGTCAGGTGGTGGCCCTTGGCCACATATGTGCTTTGTTCCTATTGCACTTTCAATTTGCCAAGTTCACTGACTATTGGTGACAGTAAATGTAACATTATAAGCTCAGCCCCCACCTCTGTAATGGAGGGAGGTCGGTCTGGCTATGTAATTTCAAGGAAACATCATCACGAAGTACTGACAGTACAACTGAAGTCTAGAACAAAGGTAGTCAAATTTATTAGTCACTTACATGTGTCAGGCATTATGCTGAGCACTAGGCATAAAAAGAAAGGGGAGGGGCAGCTAGGTGGCAGAGTGGATAGAGCACTGGCCCTGGAGTCAGAAGGACCTGAATTCAAATCCGGCCTCAGACCTAACACTTGACACTGAACTAGCTGTGTGACCCTGGGCAAGTCACTTAATCCCAACTACCTAAAAATTAAAAAAAAAAATTAAAAAGGGGAAAAAGAGCCCCTGCTCTCAAACAGCTTACATTCTAATGGGAGAGACAAGAGGTAAATAACTAGGTACATGTAAATGTGTACAAAGAAGACAGAAGTCAATCTAAGAGGGAAGGCTTTAGTACCTGGGTGATCTTGGAAAGGTAGGATTGGAATGGAGTCTTGATGGAATCAAGGGAAATTAAGAGGTAAAAGTAGAGAAGAGAGCATTCCAGGCTTCCAGGATAGCCAGTACAAATGCACAAAGATGAGAGATGCAGTGTCATGTTTGAGGAACTGCACACAGGCCACCATTATTAGATCATAAAGTACATATTGTTGTTCAGTAGTTTTCAGTTGCATCCAACTCTTTGTGACCCCCATTTGGGGTCTTCTTGCAAAAGATACTGGAGTGGTTTGCCATTTCCTTCTCCAGCTCATTTTACAGATGAGGAAACTGAGGTTAAGTGATTTTCCCACAGTCATACGGCTATTGAAGTGTCTGAGGCTAGATTTGAACTTGGGAAGATGAGCCTTCCTGACTCCAGATGGAGTGCTCTATCTACTGCACCATCTAGCTGCCCCATAAAGTGTGTAGAAGGGAGCAAAGTGTGAAAACTTGGAAGGTAGGAAAGGGCCAATTTATAAAGGGCTTTAAATGCCAAATAACTTTATTTTTTTATCCTACAGGTAATAGGGAGTCCCTAGAACTCATTGAGTGACATGGTAACATTGTCAGACCTAAACTATAGGAAAATCATCTTGGCAGCTAAATAGACAATGGGATAGAGTGAGTAAAGACAAAGTAGAGAAAGCAGTTAAAAGACTATTGCAATAGTCCAGTTGAGAGCTGATGAGGGTTCAAACTAGGTTGTGGCTGTGTGAGATCATATATAAGAGATATTGCAAAGACAGAAATGCCAAGATTTGGCAACAGATTGGTTATATAAGGTGAGCAATAGCAAAGGGTCAAGGATGAAACCAAAGTTTCATTCCAGCCTGAATGACCAGGAGAATAGTGATTTCTTAGACCATAATAGGGAAATTCAGAATAAGGGAGGGTTTGGGGATAAGACTAATGAGTTCTGTTTTGATCATATTAAATTTGAGATGAGACAACTAGTTCAAGATACCCCAGAACAGTTGGTGATACTTGACTGTCCCTCAAAGAGAGAGATCAGGGATAGATGTATAGATCTGGGAATCATCTGCCTAGAGATGATCACTGAACTCATGGGAGCTAATGAGCTCATCAAGTGAGATAGTATATAGAGCAAAAAGAGAACAAGGCCCAGAACAGAGCCTTGGGGGACACCATGGTTAACAGGTGTTCAATAAAAAAAGAACCAGCAGAGGTAACTGAGGAGTATCTGGGCAGATAGGAGGAGAACCAGGAGAGAAATATGTACTAGAAACAAGGAGGAAAAAGAGTCCAGGAGATGAAAGTCCCCTCCACACTTTATGATCCAGCAAAACTACCTACTCTCAACTCCTCCAAGATCAAATACCAGATGTTTTAGAGAGGTGAAGAAGGAAAAGCCACTAAGTTTGGCAATTAAGAGAACATTAGTAACTGCAGGGAGGGCAATTTCAATTAGATTAGTTCCTAGATGTCCATGTCATTTTTTTCCTTAACAGTATTTTATTTCCACCAACCCCCAATTATAAGTAAAGATAATTTTCAACATTTATTTTTGTAAAATTTGAGTTTGAAATTTTTCTCCCTCTCTTCCCCCTTCCTCACGACAGCAAGCAATCTGATATAGGTTATACATGTACAATCATGTGAAACATATTTCCACATTAGTCATGTGAAAGAAGAATCAGAACAAAAGGGGAAAACCATAAGAAAAAAAAAAGTAAAATAAAACAAAAGGGGAAAACCATAAGAAAAAAAAAGTAAAATAAAACAAAAGGGGAAAACAATAAGAAAAAAAAAGTAAAATAAAACAAAAGGGGAAAACCATAAAAAAAAAAGTAAAATAAAACAAAAGGGGAAAACAATAAGAAAAAAAAAGTAAAACAGTACACTTTAATCTGCATTCAGACTCCATGGTTATTTCTCTGGATGTGGTTAGCATTTTCCATCTTGACTCTTTTGGAATTCTCTTGGATCACTGTATCGCTGAGAAGAGCTAATCATAGTTAATCACCGCACAATGGATGGTGCTGTTGTGTCCACATCATTTCTATGCAAAATGTTGATGTTAGAATCGTAACTATCGATCAATCAATAAGCATTTTTAAGGGACTTCTGTGACCCAGGCATTGTGCTAAATGATAGGAATACCAAGGTAAAAATGAAATAGTCACTTCTCTCAAGGAGTTCACATTCCACAAGCAGAGAAAACGTGCGCCTTCCTTCTGTCGATTATCTCCTGTTTATCCTGTTTACACCTTGTTTGTATAAAGCATTTTTTAAAATCTCCTTTTTCCTCCCTCTCATTAGATTGTAAGCTACTTGAGAACAGGGATTGTCTTTTGCTTTTCTTTGTATCCACAGCACTTAACATAATTCTTAGCATATAGTGTTGTTGGGGATTTTTGTTGTTGTTGTTGTTGTTGTTGTTATTGTTAAGTTGTTTCTCAGTTGGGTTTTCTTGGCAAAGACACTGGAGTAGTTTGCCATTTCCTTCTGCAGCTCATTTTAAAGATGAGGAAACTGAGGCAAACAGTTAAGTGACTTGCCCACGGTCACACAGTGTCTAAGGCCAGATTTGCACTCAGATCTTCTGTCTGCTTCATTATCTAGCTGCTCTAGCCTATAGCAGGCATTGAATAAATACTTATTTACTGACTGACTGATACAGAATAAATAAAAAAAATAAATAAATACCAGGCAGTTAAATATAAAGTGGTTAGGAAGAGGGGCCTTTTTGAGTTCATAGTTCCTCTTGAAGAAAATCAGGGGATTCTATGAGGCAGAAGGGAGAAAGCAGAACATTACAGGCCTGGGCGGGGACAGTTACTGTAAGACATTAAGAGCCACGAAGGAGAAATAGAGAGAAGGCCAGTTTGACTGGACAAAAGAGAATGGGAAGTAGAATGATATGTAATGAGGCTTGAAAAATAGATTAGGTCCCAAGTTGTGAAGAGCTTTTAAATCCAGATAGAAGAATTTATATTTCACATTTAGAGGCAATAGGTAGCTACTAAAGTTTATTGAATAGGGAAGTAATATAGTCCAATCCATGTTTAAGGAAAATCATTTTGGTGACCAGGGAGGAAAAATTGGAGCTGGAAGAAACTTAAGGCAGAGAGGCTAATTCGGAAGCCATTACAAGTTTGGATGAGAAGTGATGAAGGAGAAGCAAATGACAAGATTTTACAAGTTACTGGCTATGTGAGGTGAGGGAAAGTGAGCAGACCATAATAACACTGGTTATAAACCAAGAGACAGGAAGAATGGTGGTGATGGGGTTGGGATCTGGGCCCCAGAAAGAAAAAGCCCTTGACTTTCCCACATGGCCAAATCTCTGGCGTTTACCTGAGGCTATAATCCCATCAACTGGCCTTTCATTGTAGCTATCCGGAAGTGTATGCCCAATTCTGTCAGTTCTCTCAGTGCTAAAGAATTAGAGAAAAACTGCAGTTGCTTTTTGGTTCCCTGAGGCTTATTTACTTACTCCCTTCCCTCTATACACCTGAATTCTCCTTTATGGAGGTTATAGGGGAAAGTTAGAACAGCTAAAAATATCTTGGCAGATTCTGGAGGTTTTGTGATTGATCATTAAGGAATTTAGAACTCCTCCTTACAACCCTGGTCACTCTTTCCTCCCACTCCTCGCTTGAGTCAAGAGGGTATCTGTTAACCCCTCTCATAGGAGAAGAGAGTTTCACCCTCTCCCACCTGGGAAAGGAAGGAGTGGGGAGGGGCAGCAGCTACAGCATGGGCCCCACTGGCAATGGCCTCGGGCTCTGCGGCAACCTTTTCCTGGAAGCATCACCCAGATTCAGCACATCCTGCTCAAGGAAAAGAAGCTGGCCTCTGAACTTGGGTAAGCATGCTCTTTTAAATCTGTAGTTTTAACTTTTAACAATGAGATACTTATTCTCTGTGTAAAGTAATTTGGAAGTGCATTTAACAAAACTGAAGTCACCTGACTGGTAATGGGTTTGTTTGTTTCAAGCTTCAAATTGGTGAACTTTCTGTATCAGTTATGTCAAGCAACTTTTCATAATTTGGTTACCACTAAAATAATTTAGCTCTTGTTGGTTATTGTTTTAATGTGTAAACTAGCCAAAAAGTTTGTTTGGGTTATGTATGGCTTGCTGAGAATTTGCAAGTGTATAGAAATCTCTAATGATTGGCTTTTTACATCAGGACAAATTTAAGTTTGAGATGTAAATCCTGGAAAAGTTTTTCCTAAGCTGTGATTAGTAAAATTTGCTATTTGAGGTAAAAACTCATAGGATTTTATTTTGAGTTGTCTGATGGGTCATAATCCATTGATAATCAATAATCCACCATCTGAGAGAAAAGCCACAAGCTACTCAGAGAAGATGATACTGGTGGGAAGTCAGCATTGGGAAAAGCTGAGAGGACAATTTTAGTTTCAGTCTAAGATGGGATCCTCCTGGCTCAGTTTCCCCATTATGTTCCTTTGAAAGGGAATGTTACCCACCTGGCTATTCCTGAGTCTGGCTATGAGGTGGATTTGATACTGCATGGTTGGAAAACTGAATTATCTGAATCCAAACAGAGCTAAGGATGTTTTATCCTCTCAAAGTTGGGCCCTAAATCTAGTCCCTGCTTTATATCTGGGTCTTGCAGTTTTTTCTGTCAGATTTATGTCTTCCAGACTGTGGGCTATTCACCTACAGTTGGTAGCAAACAGCAAGTACCAGCCAATGTTCCCACATTGTTCCCTGGATGCAGCCTGTCCTCAGTTCCAGTCAGCCTCCTCTTTGGGACCCCCTCGAGGCAGGGACAGCTCTACGCCCCTTGCCAGCAGGAAGCAGTTTCAGAAGCCGAGACCTTCACCCCTTACTCCAAAAGAATTTGGGTCCCATTTATTTGAGGGGTGAATGATGGGGTTGGGATCTGGACCCCAGAAAGGAAAAGCCCTGGACCTTCCCACATGGCCAAATCTCTGGAGTTCACCTGAGGCTATAATCCAATCAACTGGCCTTTCATTGTGGCTACACCCAATCTCCCTTCCATTGTCTTACCTCCCTATGGCCCCTGGCCATTTCCCCTACCATCAAGATCTCCTTAGGCCCCTCCTCCCATCACCTCAAAC